TGAGAAATATGGTCGTTACAGGATCCACACAAGAAAGATAGAAAGACAAATATAATGGCTTGATGTGATTGATAGTTGTTATATTTTTCATTTTTGTGACCAAATAATGGAAATTAAATTGGGGCTTAATTTCAATTATAGGTCATAACATTTATTCAATGTTACATATGACTTAATATATAATTGTATGGTATGTGACTGTGATCTTGTAAATTATATAATATATGACTGTGACCTATTTAATTTCAGTTATAGGTTACAACAATTTTTTAAAGGTCATAAATGTGATTATCAAAATTTTGAAATTTTTTAACAAGTTTGTTAATTTTGAAACTATATTTTCAAACATTTGAAAAAAAATAAATCATAAATATAAATGTTTAAGAAATCTATCTCTTACGCCTCACACTTTTCTCTCCCTTTCTTACACCTCACATTTTCTCTTTCTAAAATCATGGGTTTTTTTTTCCAAAATAAGTTGTCAAATTTTGGGACCTATAATTTAATTAAACGTGTTACAATTAAAATAACACATAATTTGCGGTCATGTTCATAAATCGGTCACAAATCATACAATGTCACAGTCACAAAAATACAATTGTAGATCACAATAACATATAATTTATGGTTACAATTGCATGCAAGTCACAGAATGTTACTGTCACAAAGAATATAATATGAGCTACAATTGCAAATTTAGTCACAAATTATACATTTTATAGGCCACAACTAACTTATCGGTCACTAATTTGAAGATGATGAGTATAAAGACAAATGGTATAATGTCTACTGGCGCGGCTACTGAGTGGTAAACATATTATTTTGAAGCTGGTGGTAGCTTAGGAGTGTATGTGATTAAATAATTTGATAATTTGTTGCTGATTAATTGTATAATTTGTAATTGTGACCGACAAATCTTATTTTTGTGATTGTGAATTTGTGTGATTGGTGATTTATATATGATTGTGACTGTAAATTGTGTGATTGTTACTACGTCCTGATTAATTGAATTATATGTCATAAACTTTTAAGTTTATATGTCATAAAAGTTTATATGTCATAAACTTTTATCAGGGTCACAAAATATGACCAAACTTTTATAAGAAGTCATAAAATGTGACCACCTAATTTACGAAAAAAATCTTAATATATAATTTTTTTGTCACATTTTGTGAAGTTTGGTAAAATTTTGTGAAGTATAATTTAATTAAACAAGTCATTCACAATAATACATAATTTATGGCCACAGTCAGATATCAGCCACAAACTATAAAAAGGTTACAGTTATCAATTATAGGTTACAATAACACATAATTTAAGTCACAATTACATACGAGTTACAAATTACATAATATCGTAGTCACAATTTCAAATTTAGTCACAGATCATACATTTCTCAAAAACATAAAATGTGGATCACAATTACAAATTTAGTTACATTCATACATTTTTTGATAAGTCACAATTTATTTACTGATCACAAATTATCAAATTAATTGGTTATAACTTACAATTGGTCACATATTATCGAATTAACTGATCACAACTATTTCACAATGACTAAGTACGAAATTAATTTATCACAATTTATTTATAGGTCACAAAGACACATTATAATGTAGATCACAAATATAGATTTAATCACAAATTATACATTTATAGGACACTTTTTTATTCGTCATAATTACCCCATAATTAGCCACAATTGCTCTTCATCCAACTCATTTCATCCCTCCACCACGAGCATAATCAAAAAAGTACTGTTGTCACCTCACCACCACCATCCAAGTTGGCAAAGGAAGGACAGTACGGGGCTCGCAACCCCAGCGTGGGGAGTTCGATTTCTGGTTGGAGCAGCTGAGTGTTGTAATAACCAGAGGAAGGGTTGGAGCAGTTTGGTGATGTAATAACCATGGAGGAGGCTCCCTTGGGGTCAGGAGTATAAAGGCTGTTCGAACCCTGGTCAACTTGGGCACATCCCGCCATTTACCTCCCTGAGCTGCTGAGGGGCCGGAAGTTCAGGGACGAGGATATAGTCGGGCGTAAGCTGGGACACCTCGTTAAAAAAAAAAAAAAAAAAAGTACTGTTGTCACCTCACCACCACCATTCATATCTGTACCCAAATTAAATTAGTAGTTGATTGTGACTAGTGAATTGCATGGTTTGTGATTAATAAACAATTAATGACTTATTAATTAAGATTTATTATTTAATATGTAATCGTGATTCATAAATTGGGTGGTATAGGAATGCAACTTTGTGTGATTTGAGACTTAGTGTGTGACTGTGACCAATAGATTATTTAGTATGTGATAGTGACCATTTTAATTTCTATTATATGCCACAATGTTTTTATTAGGGGCACATATGACTTAAATATAATTGTGATTCATAAATTGTGTGATATATAATTGTGTTCTCATGTGATTTATGACTTATTGTGTGACTGTAACCAGCAAATTGTATGGTATATGGTTGTGACCTATTTAGTTTCACTTTTAGGACACGACATTTATTAAAGTCACATATGACTTAGCCCATAATTGAGCCACATTCTTTTGAAAAAAATATATTCTTAAACAGTGTTTAGACATTATTTCAACAGTATATTATTCAATAAAATAATATTATACGCAAATCAAATTTCTTATTTTTTAACCACATATTTTTCATTAATATACTATTCAAAAATGCATTTATAAAAAGAATGAGGCTCAAACAAGGGCTTAATATATAATCGTGTGGTATGTGATTGCGAACTTGTGTGATTTGCGGTTTAGTGTGTGACTGTGATCAATAAATTGTATGATATATGACTGTAACTATTTAATTTCAATTATTGGTCATATGACTTAATATTAATTGTATGGTATGAGACTACAATCTCGTGTGATTTGTGACTTAGTGTGACTGTGACCAATAAATTATATAATATGTGATTGTAACCTATTTGATTTCAATTATAGATTACAAAATTTTTTTAGAGGTCACAAATGTCATCACTAAAATTTTGAAATTTTTTGACAATTTTGTTAATTTTGAAACTTTGTTTTCAAAAATTTGAAAAAAAAAAAAAAAGACTCATAAATACAAATTTTTAAGAAATCTTTCTCTTACACCCCACACTTTCTCTCTCTTTCTTACACCTCACATTTTATCATTCTAGAATTATGATTTTTTTTCCCCCAAAATTAGCTACCAAATTTTGTGACCTATAATTTAATTAAACATGTTACAATTAAATTAACACTTAATCTGTAGTCACATTCACATGTCAATCACTAACCATACAAGATTAAATTCACAAAAACACTACTGTAAGTCACAATAACATATAATTTATGGTTATAATTACATGCAAGTCATAGAATGTCACGATCACAAAAAATAAAATGTGAGACATAATTGTAAATTTAGTCACAAATTATACATTTTATAGGTCACAACTAAATTGCCGGTTACAAATTTTACGTTAATTGATTAGAACTTATTTATCTATTACAAATTAATTAATCACAAATTATTTCATAATCATAAGTTATCAAATTAATTGATATACAAATTGTAGGCCGCAATTACAGTTTAATTTACAAATAATACAATTTTTAGATCAAATTTATTTTTTGGTCACAATTATCCAATAATTAGATACAATCACCTTTCATCCCACCGACCACCACAAATTTCCATCATCATAACTACCCCAACTATCCTAACCTGCTTTGTTCTAAAAACTCCATTAAAAAGAAGTCTTGATTGCGTGTTCATTTCTTGCTCCATTATATATAATCAGCAAAGTTATACTCAAAATCGAGAATAACATATCATTAATTTCTCATCCCAACTCCCATTTTGTCATTTCGTGGTATTGAAGAATGCATTAGCCATCATCTTTACAAGCTAAACTTGAGAAGCAGTTGTGAGATGTAGCCATCCAAGTTGAAGTCCAAAGGCATCAACTGTTACCACACTCTCCAGTGCCTTTTGAATTGATGAATTGATTTTACTCTGTGGATATAATTCTTCACCCCTTGTCCCGATGCTAATGTTACCTTTATATGTATTAATTATCAAACACCTACAATAACAGTTTCTTTGGGGATTCCATAATGCAAAATAAATTGATTAAATCTGTCATTTCCGTTGAGGTCCATTTTTCTTCAATTAAATCTCGAACCACGAGTCCATCATCACAGATCGAACAAAGAAACGTCAAGGTCGAGGTGCTTGCCTGCGCTCAAAGCACATGAAAAAGCCATAGGAGATGAAAGCCTATTGCCGTATTGCAGATTCTTCTGCAAATAATCAACGGAAATCTTGCTCCTCGACTGCGATTGGAGCTCTTGCAGCCAATGTGAAGTCCCCATTGATAATCAGAGATGATCGGATCAAGCGTTGTGTATGATAGAAATTGGAAGATGAAAGAATGGAAAATATTAAGATGGTGTTTGGTAGGGATTAAAATTAAATTTTTTAGTAAATTGTGATCGAAGTTTTTGAAATATATGGTTGAAAAGTTGTGTAATTCATAAAAGATGTGATTAATATTGATTGTTTGACTTTAACTTAGATTAAAATCAGATTTTAATCCAAACCAAACATGAGCTAAAGTTTGAGAGATACACTGATTTTTGAGATTATACTTTTAACAAAATTAAAATATATTTTTTATACAACTGAAAATATAATTAACATCTGATTTTTGAATAAAATTAGTTAAGTCTTGATTAATGATAAATGTAATCTTAAATTACGCTAAAAAAAAAAAAAAAATACAAACTAAGTGGGCCTGCGCGGCCACTGGATATCTGTATGAATTGAGTTAAATGCAAGATCAATATGTTTCAATGCTTAATTACTATATGGATAAAACTATTAAACAATTTGAATTGTTAGATAAACGAGAAACTTAGTTGTTTTTATCGATATGTTCATCATCATTGTTTCTTTATGGTCCTTTACATTGTGCTTATGCTTTTTCCAGCCGTTATCTAATAAGAGTCTTGTAATGATTGTTACACGTAGATAAAAACTTGTTAGTTTAATAAGCATTGGAAATTTCCATGAGAAAAACCATAAGAGAGTGGGGAAAGGGGACATAAAAGTGAAGGGAAATTATGCCCATTTGGCCAGAAAAGACATACATCCAGCACCTAGTAGAAGTGAAATATGTGCTCCCAGCTGCAGTCTAATGTTGTTCTGCATCCTAGGATTCATAAAATCTGCTGCTAATAGATCGACAAGAGCCATATAAATCAGTATCCCGGAGGACGCGGAATTCAAAATCCCTTCAATGATAAGAGCAGTCGGGCTATTTTCTTTGTACACATTTGATATCCCGATTCCTATGGCGATCCCAACTGGGGTGGTGAAGGAGAAGAAGAGTGTCATAACTGTCGTTGTTAGGGACTTGAATTTGGCCTAATCGTGAAAAAATTAACTATTTAGAGAAAGAAAACAAGGTGGGATACTTGGAATAATTTCCTTGCTACCACTGGGGAATAAATGATGGAAACATTATGATAACAAAAATATGAACCACAAATTGGTACATGATGAAAACATTATGACAACATTTGTAACTTTGTCGATTCCTAAAATTTAGTATAAATTTGCTTGAGAGAGTACCTGAGAGATGCAACCACCAAGTCCCATGCCTTCAAAAAACTGATGGCATGATAGGGCTGCCAATAGAGTCTTTACCGTGTCAGGGTTATCTGAAGCCCCCAGTGAAATTCCAATTACAACTGAGTGCACCACAATTCCCAATTCCAAAACCTACACAAAACAATTTGAAACCATGCTCAAGACTGATCACCTCATCTAAAAGTTTAAACAATTGATCTAGAACTTACTTGTGATATTATGCGCTGCCGGACAAGATCAAGAACCCCGGTTTCATTACCAGGGATTGCGGCTCCATGAGCGTGACCGTGTGTGGCGTGAGTGTGTACATGAACATGTCCTGCGTGTTCATTGCTAGCCTCTTCATCCACGTTCACCTGTTTAATCTTGTTAAAGTGCATCTTCTTGTAGAAACTTGTTGCAATTGTGTCCACGGCTAGTGTCCCAATTGAAGCCACCATTGCGACGAATCCTGCGAAGGGAAATTTCCCCCATGGATTCTGGCTAAGGCAAGGAGATGTCAATGTCTCGAATGCTTCAGGAAGGATGTGAATGAACCCAGTTGCTAAAATCACTCCAGCAGCAAATGCTTTAATCATGAAGAATATGTCATTCTCTGGGCGTAAAGCTTCGATTTTTCTGCCAAGAAGCGGGAGACTCACACCAATACAACCAGAAACAAGAACAGCAGCTATGGCACTCAGTTTGTACTTAAGGGCCTCGGTTTTATTCCGGTGCTCGGATTCATCATTGCACGTGCACTCTCCGGCCACCACCGCCGGAAGCGAAACAACAAGAAGGGATGTTAAGATTATGATCTTATGAGCAGAATTCCACGGAAGACTGCTCATGTCGAATCAGAGCAAGTGAAGAATTACAAGTTTCTGAAATTTTGAAGGAGATGTGTCTTACTGTCTTTTGTGAGTACTATATAGAGAAAGGTGCTTTGTGGAATCTTTATTAAAGGGCCAATTAATTAACAAGAGTATATTGATGGATGGTGGACAAAAACCAGCAAGAAACGATATATTTATATTAGAATTAAGCTCCTTGTACAGATAAAATTTACGGAAAACATTATAGGCGACAACGCTGCATTGGCTGGTTTAACTGTGTTTTTTGTCCAACATCTAATAAAATCTTATCGGTTGACAATCTATCAAAAAAATTGTCAAACATTTATGTACATGTACCAAGATTGTTTGTACTGTTTCCAAAGTATTTTTGAATAGGACTTTATATGTGTCTGGCGTGTTTAGCAATGATATGATATGTGTGGCAACCTAAATATTAGGACAGTCGTACCATGTAAAGTGAAAGAATTTTTCTTGGTTACTCTTAAATATACATATACATTGTTGAAAATATTTGAATGAAGAAATTGTTTTCCTTCGAAATGAAGATATATAAATTTGACAAATTTAAATCTAAGTGTTTAATGACTAAAAGTGATGGCTTTTTAAGTTAGAAAATTGTTTTACAATGATTATGTCTTTAACTTAAACGACCTTTGATCCAACAGTTCCGTCTCTGTGTGGAAGAATGCCACTCTTTCAATTTCGTATATTTTTCATAAAATGACTTGACTTTTTATTTTTGAAAAGTTGCAATCTTTATGAAAGGCCAGGTCTTTTAGATGAATGGTCTCACATTCAAAATCTATGAATGGGAATAAAACATTTTTACATAATCCTCTATTTATCTTACAAATAAACTTGTTCGTGTAAAAATTCTATATTAAATGCTCGTTCAATGTTCAGTGAGAAGTATTCATTGACTCCTATGTTATTGAGGTACGGTTTTCATAGAAATGAAAAAAACTTGAGCAGTAGGAATGAAATTGTTTTAAGAAGATATCATGATTTGATCGGCACAGATTATTTTGTAATTACTTATTTGGATAAATTATAACTTAAAGTCTAATTGGACTTAGACGAACATATACACAGTGATTTCACTAGAATCAGTAAAACATTTTTAGAGCTTGTTCGGTAGTGATTTTGAGAATTGATTTTTTGACCGTTGGAGGGAAAAGTGGGTTCTATCTGTGAGAGGATAAGTCAAAAATGACGATTTGAATAGTGAAATAATGGTCAAAATTTTGATTTTTTAGGGTGAAAAAATCAATACCAATCATGCAATTAGTGATCATATTGCAAAGGAGTTCTATTTGTAATTCTCTCGAGCAAAATAGGATTATAATATTGGGCTAAGAGGGGCACTGTTATCAGTTGTTGCTTAGTCAAGAACAACCTTTAAAAGTAATACTAGTTAACACTTAAAAGAAAAAGATGGGAAAAAGGAGGCTGATCGAGACGTTTGGATTATCTTAAAACGAGTAAAAGTTAATTTTAAGTTTCTTTTTTATTGTTAAAAAATAAGAAAATCTCAATATCAAACACGTCGTAAATCACATTACTTCGTGATTATTGGTGTACATGAACGCAAAATAGAAAGTCTCACTATCAAACACGTCATAAATCATATCACTCGTGACTACTGGTATACATGAACACAAAATGAAAAATCTCAAAGTTGGACACATATCATAAATCATGTTACTCACTCGTGATTATTGGTGTACATGAATGCAAAATGTTGGATTGTATTTGTTTAACTTTAATTTAAATAAACAGTGTCACGAATACATAAGAATCATAAAATCCTAGAAAGGGGCCCAATCGATTATGCAACATTAAATAATAATATATGCTTTCTTTTCATGTAAATGGATAACTTTACTTGGTGGAGGTCGGAGTGGAGACAAAATGTTGTCATGCAAATCACCTTTCACGAGGGCTCACAGCTTAGATTTCATCGAACATCTTTTAGTACGTTGGTGTTTATTATCATGAACTCAGAATGTCGTTAGTCTCTCTCTCTCTCTCCCACTTTTTCATTTTACCTTTAATATGAGTTGATTGTGGTTTTGCTTTGGTGTCCAATCTAACCAAAAGATACATATGCAAAGTTAAAAGATTTTTTTAGCATAATTGTTCGATTTGTGTGATAATATATCAACGACGTGTTTGATGCAAAAAGTTAATATTAGCCATTGTTTGGGTTCCATTATCTAAAAAATTCTCTTATTTTCAACGACACATTGTCCAATGAAATAATCACACGGAAATTCAATTTTTTTTTTAAAAATTTGTTAACCACATATTTAAGCTCGGGCACTTTTTGATTTGGATTGGTTTCGACTCCAACCCGAAACCAAAATTAAATTAGCCGATTTTAGTGAAATTCAACCCAAACCAACTCATTCTAGCTAGGGGTGGTAAATGGGTTGAGTGGTTCGTTGGCTTGCGAAAACGGAGCTCGTGAGCTGCTCGGGCTTGTAAAAACACGAGCCCGAGCGCGAGCCGAGCGGGCCGGTTCGGTGGACAAACGAGCCAGGAGCCGGGTTCGTTCCAAATGAGCCACGAGCTGGGCTCGTTTTCGAAAGCGACCGAAACGGTCACTTTTTAAACTTTATCAGTGATCGTTATGGTACGGTTTTGGTCCCTGAATTAGTTTTTTTTTCTTTTTTTTTAATTACCGTTAACGGTCACTGAATTTTTTCAGTGATCGTTTTGGTCCTTAAATTTTTTTTCTTTTCTTCTTTTATAAATAGTGACATTTAGTTACAAAATTTTCTACAATTCACTCTCAACTCTCAATTATCTTTCTCTCAACTCTCTTGTGTTGTGTTGATAGTTGTGCAATTTTTGTATACAATTTATTCAATATCCAATTCTCATTTCTCAGTTCTCACTGTATTTATTGAAATTTCATCCAATTTTCATTTCTCACTACATTTATACAATTATTCTTTTACTAATTATTACTTATTACAATTAAACAAATGGATCTACGTACATTTGTTGAAAACTTGTTCGGTGTGGGAGGAAACGAATCGACTATGACACCGCAAAGTCAATTTCAGAATCAACTTGAAGGTCTAAATGACGTACCCTTACCTGAAGATATTCCAGATTTGGATCTTCATCATCATGTAAGCGGAAATCCAAATTATCCAATTAATTTGGATGATGTTGACGTTCCCAAAGCAGAACACGATCAGGAAGAAGAGACTGAATTAAACATTCCTGATACAAGGGGAAAGGGAAAGGGGAAAAAACAAGCAAAATGTTGGGATCACTTTAAGTTGATTTCAACGGGAAAAATCGTCAATGGAGTCCAAGAATCCAAAGCAGTATGTAAATACTGCCAACAAAGATTGGCATGACAAAGAGGAATTGGTACCACCCATCTCAACCGTCATTACAAAGTATGTGCGGCCAAACACAGACTTATTCGAGATTGTCAAACACAATTGCAATTTGACAGTCCAGACGCCGGTGGTTCTGCTGCACCCCTATCCACATAGGTGTATTCAGAGGAGAAAGCTCGACCCGGAATGGTGAAGCTTGTTGCTGGTGCGGAGTTGCGTTAGGCATTAATTGACAACCAACACTACGTCTCGTATGTGAAAGAATATCTACAGCCAATTTACGTTGGGGTAAGTCGAAACACTTTTCGTTCCGATACAATACAATATTTTACTTCAACAAAACAACAATTAATTATGAATTTGCAAAAATATGGAGTTGTCATATCTTTAACTTCGGATATATGAGAAGGGATTAATAAAATAGCATATATAACTGCAACTGCACATTATATAGACTCACTTTAGTGCATGCATAAAAAAATTATTGCTTTTAGAATTATCGAGTTTCCTCATAACACTAATAATATATTTAATGCTATTATTAGTATTGTTAGAGAATATCATTGCGAAGGTAAAATTCGTTCATTTACTTTCGATAATGCTAGTGTTAATAAAGTAGTTGTCGATAAATTGCATAGGGTACTGCAACCTGATTTTGGTGGGTATTTGTTTCATATTCGTTGTGTATGTCATATTTTGAATTTAATTGTCCAAAATGGTTTAAAACATATAAAAGATGAACTTCAAAATATTAGGAACGCACTATTATATATCACAATATCCCCAAGTAGAAAACAAGCATTTGAAGATTATTGTGCCGAAATAGGAGTGCAAAATGCTAAAACATTTGTTAGCGACGTAGGTCATAGGTGGAACTCTACTTACTTGTTATTAAAGTCATATGAAGGTTTTGAACATTTAATAACTGACTTTTATAACAATAGACATGTTGGAAGTGATGACGAGGGTATGTTAACTGTGATTGGCAAATAACTTTGAAAGTTAAAAGATTTTTGACATCTTTTTATGAAACCACTATGATTTTATCGGGCGTTTACCATCCCACCAGTTGTATGGTGCTTGAATGTCTTTATATAATTGAAAGAACATTTCATAAATATAGAATGACCCTGATTTTAGTGAAATTATAATTGCTATGGAATTAAAATTTAAAAAATATTGAGAAGATTTGCCTATGTTATTTCCTTTAACATGCGTGATGGACCCCCAATATAATTTATCCGGAACTAAATATATAATTGATCAAATTTCAAACGCCTTAATATTTGATACACCTATCACATATAGAAATTTAGAGCAAACATTATGTGAAATGTATGAATTATATGCGAACCGAATGGGTACCAATATTAGTCGGGTACCATCTGCACCTACTCCTTCCGCTGAAATTAAAGAAAAAGATGCAGAAACATTTAATTTATTTCAAGGTATTAATTCGTATATTTATGATTCATCTGCAATGTGTTCATCTACTACCACTGCCATGTCATCACCATCTGTATCTCATTCTCATCAAATATCTGCAGGCTCAAGCCATAATGTATTGCCTACTGAATTAATTGATTATTTCAACCTGAATATGCCAACAGATAAAACAATTAAAAAAAATTCAGACGAAGTAATTGAATTCTGGCGAAGGTATGAACGACGTTGGTCAGTTATATCTGCGATTGCAAAAGATCTGCTGACACCTCCGGTTAACATCGTTGCTTCGGAGTCTGCTTTTAGTGCAGGTAAAAGAGTTTTGAGCGAGGTAAGGAGTCGACTGAAAAAAGATATTTTAGAAGCGTTAATGTGCGTTAAGGATTGGCAAGTTGCTCATTTTTTACTACAAGATAAATATGCCAAAATTCCATGTCGTCAAGTAAGTGATATTTGATTTAATTATATTGATGAAACTTTTCTTTTCTTATC